AGCAACGCGCGTTCGACGAGCTCATCATCAGCGAAAGCAAGCGAGCTCATCGTCAGCGGAAGTGCCTACCATGCCTCAAACGGAAAAAGAAGTTCACATTCTCCTCGCGCTCACTGGAAGCGTAGCTGCTTTGAAAGCGCCAATGTTGGTATCTCTCCTGAAGGAGCTCGAGATTCCCGACCACGTGGTGAAAGTCGAGGTTGTGACGACCAAGAATGACAAGCATTTTTTCAGCCTACCTCAGGATGTCAAAGGTAGGAGAATGGTTTCGAGGAGAACGGTGATTCAACAGCTCTCGTTCGAGGCTGACATTCTTCCGGTCGTCGAGTCGATTTTTGACGGCAAAATGTTGCAGTTTGGTGCGATGAAGACGAATGGAATCAGTGGAGTAAGGTCGGCGATCCAGTCGTCCATATCGAGCTCCGTAGATGGGCAGATATCATGCTTATCGCCCCAATAGACGCGAACACCATGGCCAAGGTACGTTGATTTGATATAAGAAAAAGCAAGGCGGATGCACCTTAACGATGTCGAATCTAGCTGTGATTTCCCTGAAGGAATCGGATAGAGAACGAGAGCGATGCTCCCTCGACCATGGATTGAGCCGGAACGCCCTTTTTTCTTCAGGCATGTTCTGGCATCTGTGATAACCTATTGAGCTGCACGATCAGAGCGTGGGATCCGGAACGACCTTTATTATTCGCACCAGCGATGAACACGTATATGTATGAGCATCCTCTGACCCAGGAGCAGATCCAGAAGCTAAAGACTTTAGGATATATCGAAATTCCGTCGGTGTACAAAAAATTGGCCTGCGGAGATACGGGGTTCGGAGCCATGGCTGAGGTGGGCACGATAGCTGCCTGCGTTAAAGAGCAAATTATTGAGAAAGTCGTCAGCAAATCTTGGAAATGCTGATGATCTTGTTCTCCGGACGATTGTGATCAAATGAATACATGAATGCTTTTGAACGACGATCTTGGTGTGCATATCTATAATAATTCGATCAACTCGATATCGCCTTCGGAGCCCCTTTCAGAACCGCGATTGGCGACGGCTCATTTTACTTGACACGTTCCGTGCCATGAGGTCCTTCTGAATTCGAGGATTGAGGTTATCCATAGAAGCAATAATCCCCCAGTGCCATGAGGCACGCCGGCGCGCCTCAGACCGCATACGGTGGACGGCACTCCATTCGGGCTCACGGATTTCGGTTCACAGGGGAAGAGGGGAGGATTGGACAGTGGCAGAGAAAGTGTTAAGCTGATATCTAATGTGAAGGTGAACCACCGACTTGAGGGTCCAAACTCCATCGACGCTCTCGCTTTCCCTCATGATTTCCGCCGGGTACACGGAACTTCTCGGGGTAGGATATCCTCGGAGTCAGTCTTCATCTGGGGGCACCTTTTGATAGGTGTCAGGGGTCCTGAAATTCAGTCTAGAGCTCCTGCTGCGGACATGAAAGTATCGGATTCCTAGAACGTGCCTTCACCTGGATACCTCGGCAGAGAATCAGTCTCACTTATTCAACACCACTCAAAACTGATAAAGTGTGAATTCAGACCGATGAAGCGCTCCCGTTCCAGAGAAGTTCTTTCCCGGAGGATCAAATCGAATATGGGAGGCAAAGTTGCTGCAGCGCGTGCGATCTCGTTCCGCTCGAGACAATGGGTGGCGCCAGTAGTCCTGGAACTCGAGCTGAGCTCTGAGGTTGACAAATCAGAAACTGACGAGTTTACCCCCGTTTGGCTCTCCGGCAGCGATTCCTGCTCACTCCACCAAGTGCTACGAGAGGCGCAAGATATTGGATCTCGGCGAATGGGTTACCAACTCAGGTTGCGACACTTCGATGAGAATCCGGAATGGGTGCCGTTCCCTAAGCAAAATCGATGGGAATCCACCGTCTCGGCGGGAAGATCGGACCGCTCGCAGGTCGCAGACCTCGAAACCGACCGATGTGTCGGACAAGAGATGATTTTCCTGTCCCTCATTACATTCAATAAGAAGACTCCGATCGAAATTATGTAGTCGCCACTGTATTTGAACAGATAATAATTTACAAGGGCGATTGGAGAGGAGAACTCCTTCTCCGGACCGTGGAAACATCTCGGCGATAGTACCCGCGAAATGAGATACCTATATCAGTCCGCGGAATCGTCAGAATCGACGAGATATTTCTACTCATCACCGAAGGAGGAGAAGACTCGAACCAATCATTCATCTCATTCTTAACACCGCCAACATCTCTCCTGATTATCACTTTTGCGATATGTTTCTGTCAACAGCTCCCACCGATATGGCTTCCCTCCACTTCCTTTCCGTTAAATATTTTTTTTGTGGATTGCTCTCTGTTCCCCTCTCCCCTTCATGAGCGGGATAGCTCCCAACTTTGCCCGCTCTTTCGAATAACCATCATCCGTTCACTCATCGGATGGAGTACGAAGATTTTGTACCTCCGATCGAGCGTATACAGGCAAGGTTCCTGGGGATCAGTTGTGACTGCGGAAGCCTTCGCTGAAGACCATCGTCTTCGGTCTTCCATCCGGAGCTCTCTCATACGACCATTCTCTCATCTGTCTGGAATACTGTTGAAAGCTCAAGCGTCTGATCATCATAGAGGCACAGACAGTAGGGGGTCCCGTTCCAGATCGACGACCGTAATTTTCAACGGTGGGCATGTTCTCCAGAGAGGATGTTGCTTGGGGGTGTCGCCTCGGATCTCGACCTGACTACTGACCGCCTTCGCACAGTCGCCGCTCAGGGTGGAGCAGTCCACATCGATTTTGTAATCTCCGACGAACAGAAATAGCAGACAAAACGACACTCTGACCTTCTGACCGGGCTCGATGCTCTCGATCGGAATCTTGTGCGGTCCATGGAAGCAGATATTGGACACTTGCGTTGTGCCGTTCTGATAGTCTTGATAGACATGGAGGGAGACGAGCAGCTCCTGCAACGAGCACAACGACGAGTTCTGCGCCTCCACTTGCACGCTGAGCGGCACTCCCATCTTGAGGATGAACTCGTCGTCTGAATTGTAGGGATGTTTCTGGAGGAAAACCTCACATGCCACGGATGCCGACAGAATTGTGTCGATCTGGCTCGGATTCCACTTGCATTCATTGAGGTTCGCGTAGCCAGTGACCTGGCGCTGCTGTTGTGTTAAGGACCACTTGAGTTTGACATGTTTGTCTATGTGTTGACGGCAGAGTTCCTCGAGGTGTTCGTCGCCGCCGGACGGTTTACATCTCGGAATGAGAACGGGGATTTTGCACTTTTTCTCGACCGCTAGGGATTTGCCCTCCTGGTACTCGAGCTCGACCTCGTGAGACGTTCGATTCTCGATGTCCAACACTAGATAGCACTCATCAGCTGAATCGGCCAGCAAAACATCCCACTGGGTGATTATCACCGACTGCAGGACCGTCAGCCGGGTCTTGATGCAGCATTTTCGGGCGTAATTATCTTCCATCCCGGCGCCCCCGGAATACGATATCGTGATATCGGTGCTGACCGTGTCCGTGGCGCTTTCGGCTGGCACGTGGAAATGGTTCCGATGTGGAGTATTCGGAGTGGACTGGAATCGTCGCATGCTCGGGGTGCCCATCGGCGAAGGTGACGCCGATGAAGTTCTCAGATGCTCGCTCGTCTTCTGGCTCGCCATGAAATTCTCGCTACCGGTCAGGGTAATGTGAAATGTGACCGTCGCATCGGGAGCGATAGGCAATTGACTCTTGAGCTCTTCTTCGTTCCACTCGATGGAGGCTTTGCGGGAGCCGTCTATGCTGATATCGATCATCTCGACTGGGACTGAGCTTTTGTTGTGCAGTTTCACTCTGTAGTTTTTCGTCTCCCCACCGTAAACTGTGATCTCTGAGTTATTCTGTAATTCACCGGAGACCTCGAGCAGCGGCAGCTCAGACACACAATTAATTATGAACTCGAAATTCTTAGAAAACTCTTTGGAATTATCCGACGGCGCGGGCACGACCTTCCGGTGCATCCATTTGGCATCCTTGAAGAAACACCGGGTTCGGATCCCGAGCACGAGGCATTCGTACCCGAGGATCCGGATCACTCCTGTCGACCTCGGTGTTCCTTTGATGAGGACGTCGAGAGAATTCGGCGCCGATCCTCTCTCGGACGGTCCGATTGTGAACGAGCAGGGGTAACAATCGAAATTTCCGTCGCTGATCAATTTCAAATCTTTCAATTGGAGAGCGAACGACGCGGCGTTCTGGAAGGTCATCTGGACGCTGACCACTTCACCCTTGACCCATTTCGATGGGAAGATTCCCCCGTTCTCGATTCCCGGCTGACGGGCATTGGGTTTGTTCTTGGACGGTGCGTATATGAAGGGCGTTCCTCCATCGGGCTGACTGCTGGCCGTGGACGTTCTCCACTTGGTGGGTTCGGCGGCAAGGGGTAAGGGCTTGACTTTGGTAACCAGAGGATAATTTATCAAATGGATTTCCGGAAGAGGCTCATCGAGGAGATCGCTCTTGATTCCGCTCAGGAGCAAGGGTCCCGTTTCCGCGGTGAGCTCGTCGAGTTTTTTGGCGCATTGATGAGCTTCGTGTGCTTCCAGAAACGGAAACATATAACACAGATAATAGACACAGTGATGAGCCGCGAGCTTCTTGCCGTCCTGGAGACGGTCAGCCGTCAGTATGAGGTCACTGAGCAGCGTTGCCTGGAGCCTGGACCAGCCCAGCACCGGTTGCGGGGTGGAGAACGGATGCCAGCGACGTCCTTCGTACGGATTGCTCGCGAGCAGATCGACTTGGTAGCCCTGAAGACCTTTGACCATCAGTTGGTAACAGAGCGCGTTGTTGGCTTTGATTCCGTCGTGCACTCGGGCCGCTTGCACGGCACCGATTCGCGTATAGAAAGCTGCTTTCCGGAGACAGCCGATGTCCCGGTAAAGTTGTGCGACAACATCGTACCAGCCGAGCTTCCAGGACCCTTCGTTTATCCTGCAATAGGTGACCACAGCCATCTGCAGGAAATCTGTCGCTTGGAGACGCCGCTCGAAAGTCGATAGGAGCCGTGTGAGCTTCAAGTTCAGCTCCACGTGAGGTCCTACCGCGCTGGTGAACCTCTCGTAGTTCGCGTTCGACTCTCGTACTTTGTCTACGATCTCGTCCAGGGTTAGGAGATCCCGGCCGAACTGTTTGGCTTCGATGGGATCCACGTCGACGGGTAGGCTCTTGCAGCTTCCCGCATGAGTGAGAGTGGGATTACTCAACAGGGTCGGCGTATTCCTTCTAGCTCTCATGGGGAAACTCTGGTTCCTTACGAGACCTCCTCCTCGTCCCGGTGGCGTCAGATGTCCCACCGAAGCGGCGCATTGGCCCTCGTAGACCGCTCCCAGCCACAGAAAGTCACCGACTGCCTTGAAAACCTCCATGACCTCACCGTACAACGACAGGGCTTCTTGGACGAAGCCCAGCTGGAGGGAAATGTCGGCTAGCATTTTCTTATTACGAGCGACCCATCGCTTCCGGTATTGACGGCTATCGACGTCCAGTCCGACGAGGTCCTTTTTCTCGAACGGAGCTATGAGCATTTTATCGTCGACTTTCTTGTTATTGACATCTTGCTCGAGTCGTATTCTACTGGACTTCAGCACGATGACAATGTTCGATACGAAATCTACGATGTCTTCCTCCACCTGGGAGAGATCGTCCGGGGCGTAGAAAAGGCACTGTTCTCGACGGAGGTTCGAGGGGCAGTCTGCGTCGTTCACGGGATTCTCCGACGGCTGTGTGGGGATGTCCTTACCCACGAAAACACAACGGGTTTCGAGCACGGTTTTCTCGTACGGGTCTACCAGCTCACCGTGCTTGTTCAAGGACCACTGGACATTGCCGGGGCCTCGGTATTCACCCACCGTTATGACGCCCCGCACTGCCCGATGGGCTTGGAACTGATGCCATTCGTTGCGCCGGGCCGGATAATCGTTCACGTACTTTATGCTCACTGCCGGCACGTCGGATGCCCGGCAGAAACGGAGTTTCTGGATTCTCCGTATGACGTTCTGGATGGCCTCATCCCGCTGGTCGTCGATGCGCTGACATTTCACCAAGACTAGGATCGACGAGTGGTCTTCAAAGGTTGCCTGGAAATCGGCGATGCTCATTTCCTGGCATTGGTTATCCTGCACCTGAGCAGCTTGCCAGTTTCTTGGAACCGAACACTGCTGCGAGAAACTCCCTCTGGGGTGACTGGACTTTCAGATGATCATGTCGTCGCTTCCTCCTCGGGCACTGGGTTCTCAGGCCGTCGATTCACTCCCCGTCGACGCCGGGTGGGGATTCAAGTCCACTCGAGACGAAGAATCGCAAAGATTCTAATTTGTTTTTCCTCCACCGAGATCTTTTGACACTGGCGAATAGACATAGACTGCGGCTCCTGGTCAGCTGATCGAGGGGTTAAGTTTTTTCTCCCCGCGACCACGGTAAGAGAAGAAAGTCCCACCGGGGCGAATGGTCGCTGGGAGCAAGGAATCGATATCGCTCATCGAGGGTCCCACGGAAACTAGAAAAGAAGGCAGGTGCAAACGACAACGGGCCTCCGCTTCTTTTCGCTATTTGCGGGTGAACAGAGGCGCAGCAGACGAATTCCGTGAGCAAGGCAGCTCGGAGGCTTGAACACAACAAAGCAACGAAGCGATTCCTGCCGAAATGCGAAATCGTTCAATGTGGGAACGGAGTACATTGAATCCTTAACGACCCCGGACATCCTTTTCACACCCAACTGAGTCTCCCTCCGCCACGGACCCGACCACGGTCCCCCCACGGTCGCTCTCCCATTCATCTACGACACCTCGCAAACAAAGATGTCTGCACTCTGTGCGTTCTTATTCTAAAAACGTTTTCAGAAGGATTGGAAAGCGAGAACCATGTCGTCTCCGCGCAGAGATCACGGTCGGAGCCATCGTCGAGGAGACAACCAGAGCGAGGATTTCGCCGCCTACAAGCGCCGGCTGCGGGAGGAGATCAGCGAAACCGGTGTTCCTGGTATTTGGTCATCATCTCCCGATGAACCATCGTCGTCGGAGGATCCGGACGAGGACTCACATCGCAAGAAAGGTAAGCTAAACGTTGACATTGCTGAGACCGGAGGTCGTGTTGTGAGATCCGAGCATCAGTCGTTCGACTAGAGCCGACAAGTTCTCCACAGACAAATCTGGCAAAGAGAAGTCCTCGCGGAAGAAGAAACACCACAAGAAGAAGCGTTCAAAGAAATCGAAAAAGACTAAGCACAGGAAACGGGATCGGTCCGATTCCGAGAGCGAAGAGGACACAGGTGACGATGCCCGAGGCGTCAAACGAAGCAGAAAGCGAGAGAAGCAGAAGAAAACAAAACGTGACCGTAGTTCCGACGATGATATCGACGAAGTGACAGCCGAAGAGACTTCCGTGAAACGAAGCTCATCGAAGAAGTCCAAAAAGGTTAGTTTGTTCTGTGACTCGATGAATCGACGATACGACCGGACGCACATTCGGATATCGGAGAACGGGCCACGCGATACGTCAGATTATTCGTGCCAAGACCGGTGCGAGCCAGATAATCAGGGAGTTCTCGTCCGGATTCAGGCAAAGAAGTCGAAGAAAGCAAAGAGCAAGAAGAAGTCACGCAGGAGTACATCGTCTTCCGATGAATCATCGTCGGACAGCGAATGGGAAGAAGCTGAGAAGCCTCCGGCACCGAAACCGCTGGTACTGGATAAAGAACAGCTAGATTGGATTGAGGAGACGCGCAAGAAGCAGAGCAACAACCGCCTCATGGAGGCCGAGGACGACGACGAAATCGGACCCCTTCCCCACAGAGTACTCCTAACTCAAAAAGAGATGGGAAAAGCTTTGCTTCCCGGAGAGGGTGAGCCTCATATCGATTTCCTCGCACTTTTCTCATTTCGACGTCTTATCACGTCTCTCTACTAACGTGGATGATTTCGAATCTAGGCGCTGCGATGGCGGCGTTCATCGCCGAAGGCAAACGCATACCTCGAAGAGGTGAGATCGGTCTCACGTCGGATGAAATCGATCAGTTCGAGAACGTGGGCTACGTAATGTCCGGATCTCGACATCGGAGGATGGAAGCCGTTCGTCTGCGGAAAGAATCGCAATTGTATTCAGCGGACGAGAAACGAGCTCTAGCAATGTTCAACAAGGAGGAGCGCCAGAAGAGGGAATCTACCATCCTAAATCAATTCAAACAAGTAATTGAGTCGAAGCTCAGCAAGTGAATCGCCAGCTGAGATGTAAAAATCATTCAGATACATAATGTGTAAAATGTAAATACAATATATTGGGTTCGTATGCTTTCGCAAGAAAATGAATTCCACCTATTCAGCGTCTAGTACTTCTAAGGGGAGTAATCGAGAAATCTGACGTGTACGAGGGAAAGTCTGAGTGAGAACAAGGTGTCGCAGGAGCCCCGTGAGAAGGTGCCCGATTTTTGAGGAAACCGGTAGGCTGCAATTTCAAATCGAATTCACCACTTCTCAGCCTTCCCGAGGTTTCCTCATCTGCGGCCGCTTCACGGGTCCTGAGTCTCATCCAAGAGTGATTAAAAAAAAGGAAACGGCTGTCTCCCGGCTCAGACTCGTTCACCACGATTTGGGGTGCCTTCGATTTCCGAGAAAACCGACACCGACAGCGCCATATGAAGCATCTTCATTCGTTGAGTCTCCGCCTGACGTTCATCAATTTATCTCGGAGGAAAACATGAAGAGAGCCCCCTGTGTTGACGGAGAAGAGAGGCATTGATGACCGAGAGGTATCACGGCTCTTAATACGAGGACGCAATCTCATTCGGACGATGCGCCATCACGTAGCCTCTTGAACTCATTTCCCAGGCGCAAAATCGCCGAAAATGTAGAGTTTCCCTCCAGACACCCGGAATTTCGGGAGATTCACGCTTCCCAATGCGTCAGCGAGAGATCTACTCCGCATATGGCACTCATCCGCTGCGGAGCCCTCGCCGGTATCCGTACTGCACGTAGTTGCAGCCTGGAGACTCCTACGGGTTTTTCGCTCGTTGTCAAGACTCGGTCTCGTATGGTATGGTATGGTATTTATTGATCCTCTCGAGCCTATATATACATATAGGCTTGAGACCCTGTTTCAGGGGCGATTTCTCAGCAGATCGTCATCTCTCTCTCCCATGGAATCCGTAGAGAGGCGGAGCACTCGGAAATTCGATCTCAGCAAGCCTCAACCCGTTGAGAGAGGATGACTCCTGGATTGAATGCGTTTCCATTTTATGGGTTTCATGCATCTTCGCGACCCGACCCATACTTCGAATGTGGTTCTTGTCTCGAATGTTCCCCGACTGAATAAGTAGGGATGGGGAGAGGCTGTTTGGGATCACGCGAACCGATGTTTCGAACTGTCCATTGAGAACTGTCTAGTTTCTGATCGGCCGCCCTTCAGAGCTCTTGCGAGCTTCGGCCTGAGCGCCGTGATTCAGCAGGCGCGAAGTGCGGAGTTCTAGCCTGTCCTTCGACCGGTAAAAAATTGCTATCTATTGAAGCGGCGCTGCTGTCGCCGAGTCATCCCCCTATATAATAAAAGCACTATGTCTGTCTGACACCGGACCACTTTTTAGCGCTCTCCACCTACGAACGGACCCCAAATTTACCCGATCGATGCACAATCACTCCAGTGAGGTCGAGTCATACTTTTCTAACTGCTTAACCGCATGTTTTCCGTGAAATTCACGTGTTTCTCCAGTGATCGTTGTTTTTCACGAAATGCAAAGCCGCTTCTATGATGTCATCAGTACTCATCATCTATAGCTCGCATACCCTTCCCCTTGGACAACGAAAAGCAACACTCGATTTTCTTAAGGCTGTGGGGGCGCGAAGCGCCCTCACGGCTAGTCCTCTATAAAAGGTTGCTCGAGTTCAGAATAAATTAGTCCATCACTACCGGTCTTCGTTATTCCGCTACACTATGCATCCGGCTTGCCCTCGGCCCCCTTCCATATTCTTCATCATAATCAAATACTTTTATTTGCGTACATTGTACAATATCGCTTATGCGCTCGCTAGTGTGTCAAGACCGGGTCCCGACTGACAACTCATTGCATGGGATCTTGGGCTTCCTTGTTTACAGTATTTACAGATACATTCCTCGGTCGGAAGGTGAAACCCGACCGTTACACAGAGCATGTGATGATATCCGTGCACGAGGTATCTGGCGAAGACATGTCTCTTCGGACACAGCGGTTCGGTCCAGCGGATCCTGCGCTCCGGGATGGGATCTCCGTCCAAATCAGACACGGCTGCCCTCCTCTTCGCCGCCCACTGACTGTCAAAGTCCGTGGAGGCCGTGGTCCGATCAGTCCCTTTCCATAATCTGCCCGAGCTCTAGGTTGGTCTTGACGAGCACTCCAGTGAGATCTCCAGTCTCTCCCTCCACATTGGTAGGCTTTCCAAATCGTCCGCCGCCCAAGATTTCAGGAAAGTGATTCGTTTCCCTCTCCGCACAAGCCCGAAAGCGGAGCTTGGTTGCACATGGTTAGAGAAACCTCGGGTCTGGGACGCCCATCCGCCTTGTCCAAGGTAATACGGAGGATATCCCGCTCGGCCCCATGAGCGAATCGTTTGCTCGATGAGGCGCAGAAGAGAGACCCTGATTAATGAGAGCCATGCGACCCGTCGAACTCCAACTTATTCGCGAAATTCGGTTCTCATGGGAGGCAGTCAGGGTGAAGCAAGCTTATGCTCCTCCCTGACTGACATTGTGAGAGTCTATCCGAGCTGCGCTGCGGAAGTTTCATGTGAATTCCTAAGAATCGGGAAGGGGTGGGAGTGAAGCTCATGAACAAGAGAAATTTACTCCGATTGCCTTCATAAATATCGGTGCCGCTCGGAATCGACTCTGGACAAATCTTTCTTCGATGGGGATCACCCGGTCCGAAAAATCTAAGATCGACTCCGAAAGATATCGCAAATGCCTAGAGTCACTCCGGCACCAGCGCCTATTGGGTCGTCTTGACTACGATCACGAATCGCGGTTCGGACAGTCCACATGAAGGACGTATTCATCGATAAGGGGAATGAATTGTAGTGTACGAATTGAAGACTGCCGATCGGGATCGTTATTGAAGCATTCCCGCAGACCTGCTCCCCCCTGATTCCGGGATCGAAGCTCTGCTCGCACCCGTTGGATGACTATTGGTGCCGCAAACAAGCCCGAATTGAAACTCTAATCTGACGCCCATCCATCGTGGATGGCCCTCCACCTCCAGCTCTCCCGCTGTGAGGGTCGCTCAGAGCTGCGTCCCCATCAGCGCCTTCCAAGAGAGCCGCTCGCTCGCATGTCACGAGACTCGGCACGGCTTGGCCACTTTATTCGATTTTTCCACAGCGCTCCTCCGTCTCATGGACCCGGGAGCGTAGCGATTCGAAAGGTCCACTCGACACGTACCCCTCAACGGCACTGTCTTCTGAATCTAATTGAAAGACAAGCCACCGAGCCTCTGAGCGTCATCTCTGGGGCGCCGAAGCGCTCCCGAATAGGTACTCACCCGCCGTCCGAGCGGCAGGAGATGCCGCGAACACATCCCTACGCCTGATCAGGCCGACGGCGATGATCGAGAGAATTCTATATGATCTCATTTCCCGGATTCATTCATCGTTTTCTCGGATGCTTTCATGCTCGACGAGCTCATCATCAGCGAAAGCAACGCGAGCTCATCGTCAGCGGAAGTGCCTACCATGCCTCAAACGGAAAAAGAAGTTCACATTCTCCTCGCGCTCACTGGAAGCGTGGCTGCTTTGAAAGCGCCAATGTTGGTATCTCTCCTGAAGGAGCTCGAGATTCCCGACCACGTGGTGAAAGTCGAGGTTGTGACGACCAAGAATGCCAAGCATTTTTCAGCCTACCTCAGGATGTCAAAGGTAGGAGAATGGTTTCGAGGAGAACGGTGATTCAACAGCTCTCGTTCGAGGCTGACATTCTTCCGGTCGTCGAGTCGATTTTTGACGGCAAAATGTTGCAGTTTGGTGCGATGAAGACGAATGGAATCAGTGGAGTAAGGTCGGCGATCCAGTCGTCCATATCGAGCTCCGTAGATGGGCAGATATCATGCTTATGCCCCAATAGACGCGAACACCATGGCCAAGGTACGTTGATTTGATATAAGAAAAAGCAAGGCGGATGCACCTTAACGATGTCGAATCTAGCTGTGATTCCCTGAAGGAATCGGATAGAGAACGAGAGCGATGCTCCCTCGACCATGGATTGAGCCGGAACGCCCTTTTTTCTTCAGGCATGTTCTGGCATCTGTGATAACCTATTGAGCTGCACGATCAGAGCGTGGGATCCGGAACGACCTTTATTATTCGCACCAGCGATGAACACGTATATGTATGAGCATCCTCTGACCCAGGAGCAGATCCAGAAGCTAAAGACTTTAGGATATATCGAAATTCCGTCGGTGTACAAAAAATTGGCCTGCGGAGATACGGGGTTCGGAGCCATGGCTGAGGTGGGCACGATAGCTGCCTGCGTTAAAGAGCAAATTATTGAGAAAGTCGTCAGCAAATCTTGGAAATGCTGATGATCTTGTTCTCCGGACGATTGTGATCAAATGAATACATGAATGCTTTTGAACGACGATCTTGGTGTGCATATCTATAATAATTCGATCAACTCGATATCGCCTTCGGAGCCCCTTTCAGAACCGCGATTGGCGACGGCTCATTTTACTTGACACGTTCCGTGCCATGAGGTCCTTCTGAATTCGAGGATTGAGGTTATCCATAGAAGCAATAATCCCCCAGTGCCATGAGGCACGCCGGCGCGCCTCAGACCGCATACGGTGGACGGCACTCCATTCGGGCTCACGGATTTCGGTTCACAGGGGAAGAGGGGAGGATTGGACAGTGGCAGAGAAAGTGTTAAGCTGATATCTAATGTGAAGGTGAACCACCGACTTGAGGGTCCAAACTCCATCGACGCTCTCGCTTTCCCTCATGATTTCCGCCGGGTACACGGAACTTCTCGGGGTAGGATATCCTCGGAGTCAGTCTTCATCTGGGGGCACCTTTTGATAGGTGTCAGGGGTCCTGAAATTCAGTCTAGAGCTCCTGCTGCGGACATGAAAGTATCGGATTCCTAGAACGTGCCTTCACCTGGATACCTCGGCAGAGAATCAGTCTCACTTATTCAACACCACTCAAAACTGATAAAGTGTGAATTCAGACCGATGAAGCGCTCCCGTTCCAGAGAAGTTCTTTCCCGGAGGATCAAATCGAATATGGGAGGCAAAGTTGCTGCAGCGCGTGCGATCTCGTTCCGCTCGAGACAATGGGTGGCGCCAGTAGTCCTGGAACTCGAGCTGAGCTCTGAGGTTGACAAATCAGAAACTGACGAGTTTACCCCCGTTTGGCTCTCCGGCAGCGATTCCTGCTCACTCCACCAAGTGCTACGAGAGGCGCAAGATATTGGATCTCGGCGAATGGGTTACCAACTCAGGTTGCGACACTTCGATGAGAATCCGGAATGGGTGCCTTCCCTAAGCAAAATCGATGGGAATCCACCGTCTCGGCGAGAAGATCGGACCGCTCGCAGGTCGCAGACCTCGAAACCGACCGATGTGTCGGACAAGAGATGATTTTCCTGTCCCTCATTACATTCAATAAGAAGACTCCGATCGAAATTATGTAGTCGCCACTGTATTTGAACAGATAATAATTTACAAGGGCGATTGGAGAGGAGAACTCCTTCTCCGGACCGTGGAAACATCTCGGCGATAGTACCCGCGAAATGAGATACCTATATCAGTCCGCGGAATCGTCAGAATCGACGAGATATTTCTACTCATCACCGAAGGAGGAGAAGACTCGAACCAATCATTCATCTCATTCTTAACACCGCCAACATCTCTCCTGATTATCACTTTTGCGATATGTTTCTGTCAACAGCTCCCACCGATATGGCTTCCCTCCACTTCCTTTCCGTTAAATATTTTTTTTGTGGATTGCTCTCTGTTCCCCTCTCCCCTTCATGAGCGGGATAGCTCCCAACTTTGCCCGCTCTTTCGAATAACCATCATCCGTTCACTCATCGGATGGAGTACGAAGATTTTGTACCTCCGATCGAGCGTATACAGGCAAGGTTCCTGGGGATCAGTTGTGACTGCGGAAGCCTTCGCTGAAGACCATCGTCTTCGGTCTTCCATCCGGAGCTCTCTCATACGACCATTCTCTCATCTGTCTGGAATACTGTTGAAAGCTCAAGCGTCTGATCATCATAGAGGCACAGACAGTAGGGGGTCCCGTTCCAGATCGACGACCGTAATTTTCAACGGTGGGCATGTTCTCCAGAGAGGATGTTGCTTGGGGGTGTCGCCTCGGATCTCGACCTGACTACTGACCGCCTTCGCACAGTCGCCGCTCAGGGTGGAGCAGTCCACATCGATTTTGTAATCTCCGACGAACAGAAATAGCAGACAAAACGACACTCTGACCTTCTGACCGGGCTCGATGCTCTCGATCGGAATCTTGTGCGGTCCATGGAAGCAGATATTGGACACTTGCGTTGTGCCGTTCTGATAGTCTTGATAGACATGGAGGGAGACGAGCAGCTCCTGCAACGAGCACAACGACGAGTTCTGCGCCTCCACTTGCACGCTGAGCGGCACTCCCATCTTGAGGATGAACTCGTCGTCTGAATTGTAGGGATGTTTCTGGAGGAAAACCTCACATGCCACGGATGCCGACAGAATTGTGTCGATCTGGCTCGGATTCCACTTGCATTCATTGAGGTTCGCGTAGCCAGTGACCTGGCGCTGCTGTTGTGTTAAGGACCACTTGAGTTTGACATGTTTGTCTATGTGTTGACGGCAGAGTTCCTCGAGGTGTTCGTCGCCGCCGGACGGTTTACATCTCGGAATGAGAACGGGGATTTTGCACTTTTTCTCGACCGCTAGGGATTTGCCCTCCTGGTACTCGAGCTCGACCTCGTGAGACGTTCGATTCTCGATGTCCAACACTAGATAGCACTCATCAGCTGAATCGGCCAGCAAAACATCCCACTGGGTGATTATCACCGACTGCAGGACCGTCAGCCGGGTCTTGATGCAGCATTTTCGGGCGTAATTATCTTCCATCCCGGCGCCCCCGGAATACGATATCGTGATATCGGTGCTGACCGTGTCCGTGGCGCTTTCGGCTGGCACGTGGAAATGGTTCCGATGTGGAGTATTCGGAGTGGACTGGAATCGTCGCATGCTCGGGGTGCCCATCGGCGAAGGTGACGCCGATGAAGTTCTCAGATGCTCGCTCGTCTTCTGGCTCGCCATGAAATTCTCGCTACCGGTCAGGGTAATGTGAAATGTGACCGTCGCATCGGGAGCGATAGGCAATTGACTCTTGAGCTCTTCTTCGTTCCACTCGATGGAGGCTTTGCGGGAGCCGTCTATGCTGATATCGATCATCTCGACTGGGACTGAGCTTTTGTTGTGCAGTTTCACTCTGTAGTTTTTCGTCTCCCCACCGTAAACTGTGATCTCTGAGTTATTCTGTAATTCACCGGAGACCTCGAGCAGCGGCAGCTCAGACACACAATTAATTATGAACTCGAAATTCTTAGAAAACTCTTTGGAATTATCCGACGGCGCGGGCACGACCTTCCGGTGCATCCATTTGGCATCCTTGAAGAAACACCGGGTTCGGATCCCGAGCACGAGGCATTCGTACCCGAGGATCCGGATCACTCCTGTCGACCTCGGTGTTCCTTTGATGAGGACGTCGAGAGAATTCGGCGCCGATCCTCTCTCGGACGGTCCGATTGTGAACGAGCAGGGGTAACAATCGAAATTTCCGTCGCTGATCAATTTCAAATCTTTCAATTGGAGAGCGAACGACGCGGCGTTCTGGAAGGTCATCTGGACGCTGACCACTTCACCCTTGACCCATTTCGATGGGAAGATTCCCCCGTTCTCGATTCCCGGCTGACGGGCATTGGGTTTGTTCTTGGACGGTGCGTATATGAAGGGCGTTCCTCCATCGGGCTGACTGCTGGCCGTGGACGTTCTCCACTTGGTGGGTTCGGCGGCAAGGGGTAAGGGCTTGACTTTGGTAACCAGAGGATAATTTATCAAATGGATTTCCGGAAGAGGCTCATCGAGGAGATCGCTCTTGATTCCGCTCAGGAGCAAGGGTCCCGTTTCCGCGGTGAGCTCGTCGAGTTTTTTGGCGCATTGATGAGCTTCGTGTGCTTCCAGAAACGGAAACATATAACACAGATAATAGACACAGTGATGAGCCGCGAGCTTCTTGCCGTCCTGGAGACGGTCAGCCGTCAGTATGAGGTCACTGAGCAGCGTTGCCTGGAGCCTGGACCAGCCCAGCACCGGTTGCGGGGTGGAGAACGGATGCCAGCGACGTCCTTCGTACGGATTGCTCGCGAGCAGATCGACTTGGTAGCCCTGAAGACCTTTGACCATCAGTTGGTAACAGAGCGCGTTGTTGGCTTTGATTCCGTCGTGCACTCGGGCCGCTTGCACGGCACCGATTCGCGTATAGAAAGCTGCTTTCCGGAGACAGCCGATGTCCCGGTAAAGTTGTGCGACAACATCGTACCAGCCGAGCTTCCAGGACCCTTCGTTTATCCTGCAATAGGTGACCACAGCCATCTGCAGGAAATCTGTCGCTTGGAGACGCCGCTCGAAAGTCGATAGGAGCCGTGTGAGCTTCAAGTTCAGCTCCACGTGAGGTCCTACCGCGCTGGTGAACCTCTCGTAGTTCGCGTTCGACTCTCGTACTTTGTCTACGATCTCGTCCAGGGTTAGGAGATCCCGGCCGAACTGTTTGGCTTCGATGGGATCCACGTCGACGGGTAGGCTCTTGCAGCTTCCCGCATGAGTGAGAGTGGGATTACTCAACAGGGTCGGCGTATTCCTTCTAGCTCTCATGGGGAAACTCTGGTTCCTTACGAGACCTCCTCCTCGTCCCGGTGGCGTCAGATGTCCCACCGAAGCGGCGCATTGGCCCTCGTAGACCGCTCCCAGCCACAGAAAGTCACCGACTGCCTTGAAAACCTCCATGACCTCACCGTACAACGACAGGGC